GTGCCGCCGGTTCGGGAGGGGATGGGCTGCCCCCGCGTCCCCCGCGGCTCCGGGAAGTGGTTCCCCCGGACCTGCCGGCTCCCGCCCCGGCACAGAGCTGGGTCTGGTCGCTCGGCAGGCAGGATTCTCTGTACCAGGGTGGGTTTGGGCGGCGTGAAGCGCCACCAGAGCCTTGTCTCGATCGGAGCAAGGAGAGTTGATCTTGGAGCCTCTTCCTGGGCTTAATCCAGTCATCACCTTCCTTCCCTCGGGCCCAGGCGCTGCTCTAGCAGACGTTTATTCCCGTTGGTTCCCGAGGCCATGAGCCCCGGCTGGAGATGGAGAGGGGGGTGATTAGGGGGGTCTGAAGGGGGACCCTGAACTCCCCTGTGAGGGGCCTGTTTGGGGACACTCCCACCTGCGGCTGTGCCCGGTGTGTCCTGGCACAGTGACAGGAGCCTGGGTCTGTGTTTGCTCACTGTGGGGCCCGGTGGGACACGGCCCCGATGGACGAGACCTGTTTCCTCCTGCCTTGCCCATCAAATGGGGCTAATCCCGCGTAAAGCAGCGGGATGGGCCAGGGAAGGAGGATGGGAGCGGTGTAAGCCCCGGGCAGGAGATAAGCACAGAGTGATTCCAGCCTTCTGGCTGTCTGCAGTGGAATATTGGTCCATTTTCCGTGTTCATCCTCCTTAACACCCCTGTACATCTACCTGGGTGGGAGAGAGGCGGGTGTGCAGGATGCAGCAGTTCCACCAGAAGCCCCGGTGCCCAAACACACGTTGCTGTGCGTCCTCCTTTGGAATTGAAAGCAGGGAAGTGTCCCCAAAACGGGGCAGGGGCTCCCGTTTGCACACAGGGCGGGGACCAGAGGGGAGTCTCGTGCTGGGGGGCTGCGGTGGGGCAGGTTTGGGAACGTTTCCGCTCTCTCTGATGGATTTTGGAGTCTTAAACGTCAAGCGGTAGGTGAGAGCTGGTCGTGCAAGGACAGGGGGAGCAGAAGGAGCTGCAGAGGGAGGAGGGAGTCTCCTGGTGCCGGGGCTGAGCACGCGGCGATCTCTGGAATGGCTCCGCGGAACTCCCGGGCGCAGCCGATCAAAACAAAAGTGGGAACAGGTAAAGCACATCCCGTCTCCGGCGCAGCCCTGGATCTGCCCTGCCTGGGAGTTGCCTCACGTGGAAGGAATTGTTTGTGTGTTTGCCCTGTGCCATGGGAACTCATGGCTGGATCGGGGCAGGTCGGGAGCTGCGGATCCCAGCGGGTGACGCAGGTTTGGGAGCCGGGAACCGAGAGGGAACTCTCCCCTCCCCGTGCCGTGGGCTCCCATCCCGGTTAATTCCCGGGTGTATTTCCTCCTTCCCAGGCAGGAGCAGAGTGAGGAGCCACAGGGACACAAGGGAGGGAAGGTTGGGAGCTGAGCACACGGGTTCCCTCACCCCTTGTGTCCTGTCTCAGGCCTCAGAAGGGCCGAGCCACGGAGCACCACGGCTGCGTCGGGAAAGGCTGGAGAGGGGCTGCAGCAGATGAGCAGAGCGGGGTGGGAAGCGTGGAAGGAGGAGCGAGGAACAAGGGGCTGGAGGAAGAGGAGGAAATCAGGGAAACTTTGCAGGGCCTTGACCCAAGAAAAGGAGATGCAGGCTCGGAGAAGTGGAAGGTGGCAGCAGTCGCAGTTGCACATGTCCCGAGGGAGGGAACTGGGAATTAAAGGAAATCCCCAGAAAGGGAGATGAGGGAAACAGGAGCAGCTCCCCTGTATGAGTGCAGGGAAACCCTGGAGATGAGCGCTCCAGAGGTGGCTGAGCAGAGCAGGACTGGGAAAATTCTCTGAAAGGGGAGTGCTAGGATGGGAAAAATAGGTGGAATTTCTGTGGGAGAGGGAAAGGGGAGTGAGCAGTGACAGAGGCACTGGGGGAGGAAGGAGCAGGGCAGGTCCAGAGGAGCAGGAGAGGAGGAGCTGCTGGGCTGGAAGTGGCAGAGGGAAAGGAATGGGAGCCCGTATATGTCACGTGGAAGTGAGATGAGCTGGGGACTCTTTGGAGCAGGGAATTTTGTGAGTGTCCTTTGTGGATGGGGACAATGTGGCCAGAGAGACAAAGGGCTTGGGGAGAAGGTGCAGAGAAAGGAGGGGTCGGTAGACCAGAGGTGGGCAGCTTGCAGGGCTGGGAAGGGGGGTGGCTGGGGAGGAACATGTGTGTTTGGGAGAGAATCAGTGGGAACGTGGCCTGAATTGGTGTCATCTGTGGGAATTCGGGATGGATTTTCCTTGAGTTTCTCCTGGGCACCCTGGGGACTGCAGAGCAGAGATTCTGGCACGCTGGGCTGGGCTTCTGCCCTGGCCTCTGTGGCAGGGCTGGGGGGCTCTGAGGGGGTCTTGCCATGCCGTGGGGATCAGGGAGACATTCCCAGAGCTGTGTCGTGGCTCTGGGAGTCGGGATGGGCTCGGCAGCCTCCTGGTGAGTTGTGGAGTTATTCCAGGCACGAAACAGGGATGCATTTGCATCGGATCTCGCTTGGGTGTCACTAATGACAGCACTTGGGACTTTCCCCCAGCTCAGGTGGCCTGTCCCACGGGTACCCGATTCCACGGGGAGCTGGCTCCGGCACCTCTGCAGGGATCACCCCCATGGGAAGCACTGGAGCACCTGGATCTTGGGGTGGAAGGGCCGAGGCAGAGCAGGGCCGCCAGGGGAGGGTGGAGATCTCCGGAGGGAGGAATATCAAGGAACACCCCCTTCTGCTTGGCAGGCTCTGTTTGAGCCCGAGGTGTGGCTGTGCCTCCACAGCGGAGCGTTCAAAGGGCTGGGAGCAGATTGCTCCTGCTAAAGCAATCAGCCGTGCTGTCGGCCCTGAACTTGCAACAGCCCATCCCTGGAATTGCTGATAGCCCATCCTGGAATTGCTGTCGGCCCCTGTCGNTTCCCTCACCCCTTGTGTCCTGTCTCAGGCCTCAGAAGGGCCGAGCCACGGAGCACCACGGCTGCGTCGGGAAAGGCTGGAGAGGGGCTGCAGCAGATGAGCAGAGCGGGGTGGGAAGCGTGGAAGGAGGAGCGAGGAACAAGGGGCTGGAGGAAGAGGAGGAAATCAGGGAAACTTTGCAGGGCCTTGACCCAAGAAAAGGAGATGCAGGCTCGGAGAAGTGGAAGGTGGCAGCAGTCGCAGTTGCACATGTCCCGAGGGAGGGAACTGGGAATTAAAGGAAATCCCCAGAAAGGGAGATGAGGGAAACAGGAGCAGCTCCCCTGTATGAGTGCAGGGAAACCCTGGAGATGAGCGCTCCAGAGGTGGCTGAGCAGAGCAGGACTGGGAAAATTCTCTGAAAGGGGAGTGCTAGGATGGGAAAAATAGGTGGAATTTCTGTGGGAGAGGGAAAGGGGAGTGAGCAGTGACAGAGGCACTGGGGGAGGAAGGAGCAGGGCAGGTCCAGAGGAGCAGGAGAGGAGGAGCTGCTGGGCTGGAAGTGGCAGAGGGAAAGGAATGGGAGCCCGTATATGTCACGTGGAAGTGAGATGAGCTGGGGACTCTTTGGAGCAGGGAATTTTGTGAGTGTCCTTTGTGGATGGGGACAATGTGGCCAGAGAGACAAAGGGCTTGGGGAGAAGGTGCAGAGAAAGGAGGGGTCGGTAGACCAGAGGTGGGCAGCTTGCAGGGCTGGGAAGGGGGGTGGCTGGGGAGGAACATGTGTGTTTGGGAGAGAATCAGTGGGAACGTGGCCTGAATTGGTGTCATCTGTGGGAATTCGGGATGGATTTTCCTTGAGTTTCTCCTGGGCACCCTGGGGACTGCAGAGCAGAGATTCTGGCACGCTGGGCTGGGCTTCTGCCCTGGCCTCTGTGGCAGGGCTGGGGGGCTCTGAGGGGGTCTTGCCATGCCGTGGGGATCAGGGAGACATTCCCAGAGCTGTGTCGTGGCTCTGGGAGTCGGGATGGGCTCGGCAGCCTCCTGGTGAGTTGTGGAGTTATTCCAGGCACGAAACAGGGATGCATTTGCATCGGATCTCGCTTGGGTGTCACTAATGACAGCACTTGGGACTTTCCCCCAGCTCAGGTGGCCTGTCCCACGGGTACCCGATTCCACGGGGAGCTGGCTCCGGCACCTCTGCAGGGATCACCCCCATGGGAAGCACTGGAGCACCTGGATCTTGGGGTGGAAGGGCCGAGGCAGAGCAGGGCCGCCAGGGGAGGGTGGAGATCTCCGGAGGGAGGAATATCAAGGAACACCCCCTTCTGCTTGGCAGGCTCTGTTTGAGCCCGAGGTGTGGCTGTGCCTCCACAGCGGAGCGTTCAAAGGGCTGGGAGCAGATTGCTCCTGCTAAAGCAATCAGCCGTGCTGTCGGCCCTGAACTTGCAACAGCCCATCCCTGGAATTGCTGATAGCCCATCCTGGAATTGCTGTCGGCCCCTGTCGAAGGGCTGGGCTCTATGAGGTGCTGGGCTGTTCCCCAAACCCTGTGTAGGGGCTGGTGGGTGCTTTCCCCAAAGCCCAGTGGGCGCAGAGCGGGGCTGGAAAGCTGCAGCTCTCCAGGGAGCTCTGTCCCTGCCACGGGAAACAGCTTTCCCTGGTGTTACTGGAGCTGCTGCCAGGTGAAACCAGCACGTTCCCGGCCGGTCGGAGCATCGTCCCTGCATTTCCTCCCCGTCCCAAGGGCAGTGAAACCTTGGGGTGGGAAGTTGAGCTCGGGTCCTGCGGAGGACGGGCCGTGAGTCAGCCAGGGTGGCTGGGACTGGACCCAGCTCACTGTAACACATCCTTGTCATTAAATGTGCCTTTTTGATGTTGGGCCGCAGCTCTCCCGGCCTTCAGCCACGTTTGGTCAGCACCAGAGAGTTCCCTGTGTGTCCACCCCGAAGGAAAAGCTTGGGGAGGCGGAGAAAGGTGGAAGGAGGAAGGCAGGGAGACGCTGGGCTCTGTTCAGACCTGGGCAGAGGCAGCGAGGGGAGGGTGGGTGACAAGCAGGAACTGGTGGGATGTGACTGATGTGGGATGGGCTCGTGGCTGTTTGGGGGTTTGGGGCAGGTCGGGGCCTCCTGCTCCCGTTTCCAGAACGGTTTGGTTTTCCTGTTGTCCGTGGCACTCCCTCCTGCGTCCCTGTCATCAGCCAAGGGTGGCAAGTTCCCAAGGGCACCCTCAGGCACTTGGGACTGCCCAGTGAAAAGCCAGCTGTCCTTCACAGAACCACGGCATCCCAGGATGGTTTGGGTTGGAAGGGCGTCCAGTTTCACCCTCTTACTTCCTAGTGGACACCTTCCACTAGCCCAGGTTGCTCCAAGCCCCATCCAACCTGACCTTGGACACTTCCAGGGATGGGGCAGCCACAGCTCCTCCAGGCAACCTGTGCCAGGGCCTCAGCACCCTCACAGGGAAGAATTTCCTCCCAATATCCCACCTAACCCTGCCCTCTGGCAGTTCAAATCCGTTCCCCCCTGTCCTGGCACTACAGTTCTTGATGAATCCAGAGCTGCAAAAGCCATGTCCGGTTGGGGGAATGGTGTTTTCCATGGGCCTCTCCCGTCTCCTACCCTCCAGGGAAGGGGTTGAGACTCCTGGATGTCTTTTCCTCTTGTGATCTCCACCCCTGTGTTAAGTCCTGGAGCTTCTGCTCAGCCTCTGCACCTCAGGGAGCCGGCACTCGCTGGCACTGGGATTTGAGCAGGAGCTGCAGGAGGGAATTTGTGGGGTCCCTCCACTCCTTCGGGGCTCAGGGTGGTTTCCTGGGGGGTCACAGAAGGGGTAGGGACTGGGGAGCTCGCTGGCCTGTCCCTGGGTGTTCACACATGGCTCTGTCCCTTCTCTTGCCATAGTAATTCCTGCTGTTATTGTTTTTTCCAGGTGAGCTGTGGCGTGCCAGACCTCAAGTTTTAATGGTTTTTATATAGCTTCTTCTTTTTTTTTTTTTTTTTTAAAAAAAAAAAGACGAATGGATGAATGAAGGAGGATTTTATTGAAGGAAGGGGAGGAAAAGATGAAGCGGTTTGGAACAAACTGAGATCTTCCCCTGCACTGCCCGGGCCATGGGTGAGACAGACCTGCTCAGCACCACTGCCACCCTTGGGTGTCTGCTGGGGTTGTAAAGGCGCTCCCTGAACGCCCCCTTCCAGGTCCCCCCAGTTCACCTGCTGGGAAATGGTCGCTGCCGAGAGGATTTAATGCCATTCCTGTCGGTTCCCAACCGCCCAGTGGATACCGAGCCCCTGGAAGGGCCTGGGGCTTCAGGAGAAAGGAGCAAGTAGGAAAACCCACAGTCTGCCAGACCTTCCCCTCCGCCCCCCTCGAAAGAAAGGATTTACAGCTCAACCTTGCACCAGCTGTTCCTCGGCTTTAACAGACAAGAGAGAAATAAATAAAATTAAACGGCCACCGCCAGCCAGCCCCGGATCCCGGTGAAATCAGGGAGAGTGTTTCCGTGACCCCTCCAGCGAGGGGAGGAGGAGGAGGAGGAGGAGGAGGCACGGCAGCCGAGAGGAAGCCGGGCAGATTGCTTGGAGACCACCCCCTCCTCCCGTGCAGCACCGGGGGCTGCGGCACCGCAGAGGAGGTGGATTAAAAAGGAGAAGTGGCTTCCCTGAGGCTCCCGGAGTGGCTTTTTCGAAAGGAGTTGGCCGATCCTGTGCTCTTCCCGGGGTGCTGGCCGGGTGGGAAGCGCCGAGCGAGCCTGGGGAATTCCCTCCCCTGGGAACCTTGGCTGCCTGTTTCCCTACGGAGAGCGAGGCTCGTGAGGGCTCCCGGCATTCCCGCTCCCGGCATTCCCGCTCCGACGGCTGTTTTAAACTCAAATCCCCCTGCTCTGCTCTGAATTTTTGATGGTTTTAAACCTCCTCCCCTGCGCCCGCGAGCTCTTGCAGGGCAGGGCGTAGGGTGGGCTCCTCTCCTGGGCCACCAGCTCCAGAGACTTGTCCGGATTATCCGTCCAGGTCGGAGCTTGGCCTGGGAGCGGGCACGGAGGCCGGGAAGGGGTCGGCCCTTGTCCCCCCTCCCCTTCTCGTCCTGCTCTGACTCCCTCGGGGCCTGGGCTATGCTGCGGGGCGGACCCCCCACCACAGCTCCAACATGCCAGCAGCCTCTGGAAAGAGATTCAAACCCAGCAAGTACGTCCCGGTCTCCGCTGCTGCCATCTTCCTAGTGGGAGCCACCACCCTCTTCTTCGCCTTCACGTGAGTCCCGGCGGCTCAGCCAGAGCGGGGAGGGCTGGAGGGGGCGACAGGGGACGTGGGGAAATAGGGAGAGGGGTTGGGACTTCCTCCCAGAGAGAAGGGGGATGCCGTGCTCCGGGTGGTGGGGTGGCCTGGCGGCCCTTGGAGCAGCAGGACCCGTGTCAGTCGGTTTTCCCCAGCCGGGGGTCCTGGTGAGGCACCGTGTCACCACTCAGCTCCAGATCAGCGGGGCTGGACGCTGGTTTGTGACCTGTGGGTGGAAAACACCCGGATCACTTTCCCTTTTGTGGCCAGGCAGGGTGGATTGGTCGGGCCGGGGCAGGATCCGTGTTATTTTTGGAGCTTTGTAATCGATTTGTGAGCCACAAAGGAGAGTTCAGGGAGGAGAACTCTGCCCCCTGCACGGATCACTGGCTGTCGGTGTCAGCCCTGCCCTGGGCAAACAAGGGTTCAGTGTCCCTGGAGAGGGCCCGAGGGGGTGGCTCATGGGTCACCAGGGCCGTGGGGGTCTGCCAGGGTGGGAGATGGTACTGGCTGCTGGGGAGTCGTGGGGATGTCCCTGGGCTGCTCTCTCCTGTAGGGCCTCCCTGCCCCGTGCCACGTGCCTTAGTGACGTGCCCTGGGGGTGGCAGGCGGGGGGGCAGGACCTGGGGGTGTTGAGGAGGGGGCCAGGCTGCTGTGCCAGCTCTGAGCCCGGGAGGGAGCAGCAGCAGCTGAGGCAGGGTGTGCCGGGCAGGAATGGTGTGCCAGGCAGGAAAGCTGGAGCGTGGCAGCCGCACCAGCTACCAAATCCTGTCCCTGTGGTGGGCTCTGAGTGGTGATGTGTTTGGGGTCCTGGCTGGTGGGAAGGGGGTGCACTGTCTGCTCCGGGAAGCCTCTCCTGCTCCCTGGGGTTTTCCTGCTGGGGGTCAGCTGGAGCTGCAGGAGGCTGAAGGGCTGGGTGTGGTGGCTCCTGCCACTCCCTGTGATGGTGGTGGGAAGGTCACTGTGGCTTTGGCACCTGGGAGCCACCGGGCAGTGACAGGGAAACTTGACAACTGAAGGGGAGAGTGGGTTTGGTTTGCCCTGTCTGGCTTGGGTGCAGCTGGTGGTGTCACTCAGCACGTGTGGCCGTCCCCTGCTGGGACACTGAGCGGTCACCCAGCTCCCAGGCTCCAGGTTTGGCCGCTCCAGGCTGCCAGACGCCTGCGGAAGTCGCTGACTGTGCTCCCGCTCCAGAGGGATGAAGGAGAAGCGGGGGGAGCGGGCGATGCCCTCTCCCCGTGTGTGACCTGGGAGGGACGGGCTGCCTCTGCAGCCGTGCTTTGGGGGGCCCTCCAGGCAGCTGGACCCCCAAGCCCATCCCGGCCCCGGGCTGTGGCAGCGCCGGGAGCAGCCGCTTATCAGCACGGGGTGAGAGGCAGCGCCGGAGCCGGCGCCGCGGAGCAGGTTTGGCCAGGGCAGCAACAGCTGGGCAGGTCGCTGTAATTACAGGTCAGCGGTGTTGTTTAACCTACTTGAGAACAGCCCGTGAAAGCCCGGGCACGGCGTTCACACGGGGCTCAGCCGGGGGGCAGCTGCACTGCTGTTCCCTGGGAACAGCCTGGCGCTGGAGCGGGGTGGCAGGGACACGGGGCCCGGGGTTTGCCTCCTGCACGGTTCCGAGGGCCAGGGTGAGCCTGGCCCGCCTGGACCAGGACAGCTGGAGCAGCTGCCAGCTGCCCTGCTCGCTGTTGGCATCCCACCTCAGGCTCATCCTTTGGGAAGCGCGGTGGAAGCTGGGGAGGGGTGCTCTGGGAGGCCTCCCCCAGGCAGGGAGCAGGCAGGGCTCGGCACGGCTCTCCAGGCTCCGGCTGCGTTACTTCCAGCATATCCACTGGACGCCTTTTGGTCCGTCCAGGATTTGTATCTCTGGGCCAAGAACTCTCTTTAATTGATTAATTTAATGAGGAGCTGCTGCCGAGCACGTGGCTGTGGAAATGAGCCGAGGCCGGCTGGGCTGGAGGGGGGGCAGTGGGACAGGGGATGTTCCTGCTTTCCTCTGGGAGGAGCGAGGGTCCCAGGCTTGCTGGGCTCTCAGAGAGGTGCTGATTTAGGATGGAAACTCCCTCGTGGGGTCCATTTGTCCATTCCTTCATCTCCCTGCTGGCCAGTCCCAGCTCCTGGTGTGGTTGGTTATCAGGCTCCCTGTCCCTTCTGGAGCCAGGACACGGATTGGTGCCACTGGGAAACGGTGCTGTGTGCGCTCCCAGTGGGACCCAAACTTGTAGGAGGGTCAGGGCGTGCAGGGATTGATCGTGTTGGTGCCAGGGCCTTGGAGAGCCGGAGGGAGGAGAGGCGTCCTGGGAATGGCTGTGCTCCAGGAGAGGGCAGGGGATGAGGGGCTGTGGAGGGGACGGGGAGCCAGCAGGGAGGGACGGGCTTCTCCGGGCATGACTGGTGGCAAAAAGCCTGTCTTGCATCCAGGTGTGACTCAGGGTGCCCGAGGTTCCCAGAGTTCTCTCATGTGCTGCCAGGGACAAGTCCCGACAGCTCCTCTGGCGATGGGCGTGTTGCATCCCGGTCCAATCCCGAGGGGGAACCCGATGGGTGCTGTGGGACCTGCGTGGCTGTGATGGCGAGGAGCCTCCCTCCTCATCATCATCATCTTCCTTTTCCTCCTCCTGCTCCTGAGGAGCTGGCGCCCGCTCTCCCCGGGGCCGTCCCTGGGGTCGAGGCAGGGCCTGCAGCCCCACGCTCTCTGTCCGGGAGAGCAAAAGGCCAGGAGCACCTCGTGCTCCCAAGAAGGAGGTTCCCTCAGGGATGGGCAGCACCTTTGCTCCCTGTGGAGGACCCCGCTCCCTCCTGTGGGTGGGGTTGGTCCCGGGAGGTGACTCCCTGGCTTTGTGGCCACTGGCTCCGTGGGGATTCCTGTCTCCCACAGCACGGGGGTGCCTGGGTGTGGGAGAGCCGGGAGGGCAGCGGGCTGCTGGGGAGGAGACCCCGGTGTTGTGCTCATGACCAGGAATGCTGCACCCCAGTTCTTCCCTCTCTGCCTGCCCCAGAGCTTTCCAAGGCAGCTGGATCTCTCCCTGTCTCTCGAGGATCCAAGCCGTGTGCTTGGCTTGGCCTGGCTGTTGGCTGTTCCCTGTGCAGGATGGTTGCCCAGCCACGGGCCTTCCTGGCTCCCCTCCATCTCTTTCCAGCAAAAGTTTGGGCTGGGATTTCCCTTCCTGGAGAGAGGAGCTCCTTCCACAGGGTTCCTGGAAGGGCATTTGCTACTTTTAGGGCTCCTCTGAGCCTCCTGCCCCTCTCCCTCTGGCAGAGAGCAGAGCTGGGGAGCTCAGCTCAGGGATGTGGGGTCCTTGGCTCTGGTGTGTTCTTCTCACTCTCCACAACTCCCTGACAGGAGGTTGGAGCCAGGTGGGGGTCGGTCTCTTCTCTCAGGGAAGAAGCGATGGGAAAAGATTGCTTCAGATTGCAATTGAGGTTGGATATTAGGGAAAGTTTCCTCATTGAAAGGGTTGTCTAGTCCTGGAACAGGCTGTCCAGGGCAGCAGTGGAGTCACCAGCCCACTGGTGGTGTTCAAAAAACACCAGCGTGGATGTGGCACTCGGGGACATGGTTCAGTGGTGGCCTTGGCAGTGCTGGGGGAACAGTTGGACTCTGTGATCTTGGAGGGCTTTTCCAACCTGAGCACTTCAGTGCTTCCGATTCTGTGATTCTTCCCTCGCTCAGGCTGTGGCCTGTTGCTGTCACGTAGGTCCCGTGCCTCCAGCACTGCTCTCCCAGGGTTTTGGAGCACGGATCGGAGAGGGCTCCTCCTCTCCAGCCTGTCCCAGCTGTGGAGAATCCTCCTGGCTGGCTTCCAGAGGAGGCAGCAGGGCTGGCAGGGCCAGTGCCAGGCTTGGAGCCGCTCCCCAGCCTGGAGCAGAGCTTGGGGTGACACACTGGGAGATGCTGTCCCGATACAGAGCGGGGAGGCAGCGCCCAGCGTGCCCGGGAGGGCGGCTCCTGAGGAAGGGGCTCTGGTGGGGAAGATGGTTTGCAGGAGCAGCCTGGTCCTGTGTGTGGGGCCTGGAGGTGTCCCAGAGGAAGAGGAGGAGGAGGAGGAGTGTGTGGGCGTCAGAGCAGGGCTTGGCCCCGTTGCGCTGCTCTCAGCGCTCTCCCGAAGCCGAGGGTCTGCCTTCCCGCTCTCCTGCTGCCCTCATTGCTGCACCTGGATGGGGACAGCCTTGGCCTTGGCTTGTGAGAGCAGGTCCCACTGATGGTTCCCACCCTCCCCGGGGCACAGAGCCGTGCCTGGTACTGGGAGCGCCCTGCCCGCCTCGCCCTCTGCGCTGCCAGGTGTGTGCCAGGCAGGTGTGTGCCAGGCAGGTGTGTGCCAGGCAGGTGTGTGCCAGGCAGGTATGCCCAATCCTCCACCCCCTGCCACATCTGCCCTGCCCAGGGCAGCCCCTGCCCCTCACCCAGGGCTGCTCTTATGCCCTCCCTGGGGCCCTGGCAGCCCTGCACTGGGGGCAGAGCCCCGCGCCAAGGGTTTGTTCCCAGCTGGAGCCTTGCCGGTGCTCCCAGGGCTGCAGTGACAAGGACAGGGGCTGCCTGGCCGCCAGTGGGACCCGTCCCCGCGGGTGGTGGTGGAGGAGGGGACGGGCCCAGTGCCTGCCCCTTGACCCCAACCTGCAGGGGATTACGGCGCTGGCACCATATGTCACCCTGCCCGCCCAGCCCCGCGCTGCTCCGGCCACCCAAATCCATCGGCACTCAGCGCGGCAGGGGGAAGAGAGGGACAGATGCTGCCCTAGATCTGCGGGATTAAATCCCAGCAGCAAAGCAGATTAGGGAATTACACTGGCGCCTCCGAGGGGGAAGCCCGCTGTCCTGAGCGTGCTGCCTGCTGGGGCAGGAGGGAGCGGGGTGATTCCCTCCTGGAGGAGCTGGGCGCTGGTTGGGGTCCCAGTGTCCCACCAGAGCTGTCTCTGGGTTGTGAGGAGCAGGAGCAGCTCTGGAGGCACCGGAGCTGGCGCTGGTTTCGTGTCCTCTCACAGGTCCCCTCTGTGCAGCTGGTGGGGCACAGGGAGGGCGAAGTGCAGGCATTTTCTGGTGGGTCCCCCCCGTGCCAACAGCCTGGCTCTCCCTGTTCCCACCACGGCTGCTCCATGTGTCAGTGGGATCCCAAGGGGCTGTGGGCACAAGGGGCGAGTGGGGGTTTCGCTCCCTGATGGATGATGCCTGGAGCCATCCCACCGTGCCCTCAGGGTGCTTCCTGGGCTGCAGAGGTGGCCCAGGCACAGCTCCGGTTTGGGTGTGGGGGGCACTGGGTGGAGCTGTAGGGACATTGGGGGGGTCCAAGGGGTCTCACTGCTGCTGTGCCCGCAGGTGCCCGGGGCTCAGTCTCTACGTCTCCCCCATCATCCCCGCCTACAATGCCGTCGTCTTCCTCTTTGTGCTCGCCAACTTCAGCATGGCCACCTTCATGGACCCGGGCATATTCCCACGAGGTGAGTCCGGCTCTGACCAGCCAGGGTCTCGGGTAGAGCTGCCTCCTTTCACCCTTCCTCTGAGGTAAAGGGCATTTCTGGGTCCCAAGAGGCTGGTGGAGAGCTCTCCTCGCCCTGCCTGGTGGGATCGGGCAGTGACATGGATGCCAGCTCTGGGTTCAGCACCCTGTGTCGGGTCCCTGGGGCTTGGGTGGTGTCGAGGTTGTAGGGCAAGGCTGGGGAGAGCCCCCCAGGCTGTGTTTGGGGGTCCCTGTGCCGGGTGCCAGCAGGGCAACGCCGGGTGCCTCCGGCTCGGGCAGGCAGGGGCTGGCCGGGCCCTGACGCGTGGCCGTGCCGGGGTGTCCCCACCAGCTGAGGAGGACGAGGACAAGGAGGACGATTTCCGGGCCCCGCTCTACAAGACGGTGGAGATCAAGGGCATCCAGGTGCGCATGAAGTGGTGCGCGACCTGCCGCTTCTACCGCCCGCCGCGCTGCTCCCACTGCAGCGTCTGCGACAACTGCGTGGAGGTGAGGAGCTCCCGGGGCCTCCGCCGTGCCCGGGGCAGGGCAGGGCAGGGAGCCCCGGCAGCACCCCCTCACCGAGCCCCCACACCCCCCCCGGCAGGAGTTCGACCACCACTGCCCCTGGGTCAACAACTGCATCGGGCGGCGCAACTACCGCTACTTCTTCCTCTTCCTGCTGTCGCTCACCACGCACATCATGGGGGTCTTTGGCTTCGGGCTGCTCTACGTGCTGTACCAGGTGGAGGAGCTCTCCGGCGTCCGCATGGCCGTCACGTATCCTCCCCACGGGCCGCGGGGGCGGGCGGGGGGCGGTGGGGGCCGGGGTTGGTGGGTTGGTGTGGTGCCGAGCGGGGCTGCGGCTCCTCCTTAGCTGGCTGTGGCAGGATGGTGGTGATGTGCGTGGCCGGGCTGTTCTTCATTCCCGTCGCTGGCCTGACGGGGTTCCACGTGGTGCTCGTGGCCAGGGGCCGCACTACCAACGAACAGGTAGGGCCCGTGGGGCTACGGTGAGGCCACCTACGAACACATTTTGGGGCTCCCCGGAGCAGGGTGGATGTGGATGGGCTGGATTGAGGCAGGGGGAGGCCCCTGAGCTGGAGGGGCAGAGCACAGGTTGCCTGAGGGGCAGCCTGGGGTTGGGGGTGCTGCCAGAGGATGGAGCCAGGCGGGCACTTCTCGGGGGCGGGAGCCAAAATCAGGGAGACCTTTCCCCCTCCAGGGTATAGTTGAACACTTAAACAGGGAGCAGGATAAGGGAGAGGATCTCTGAGTATCTCTGTCCTTGGAGATTGTCCTGAGGCTGCTGGACAAACCCTGGCATGGCTGGCTGGGCTGAGCCCCCCACGGTCCCTGCCTGCCCCGAGGCTGTGACACTCCTTTACCCCGCAGGTAACGGGCAAGTTCCGTGGGGGTGTCAACCCCTTCACCAACGGTTGCTGTAAGAACGTCAGCCGGGTCCTCTGCAGCTCCCCGGCCCCCAGGTGAGCCCAGGCAGTGCAGATACCCCTGGCCCCCATCACACCCGGCCCTGGCGCCCTCAGGGAAACCACCAGGCCGTGACCTTCCTCCCGCCCCCTCCCCAGGTACCTCGGGCGCCCAAAGGCCGAGCAGACGGTGCTGGTGAGACCCCCCTTCCTGCGGCCCGAGGTGTCGGATGGTCAGATCACCGTCAAGATCATGGACAACGGTATCCAGACAGAGCTGAAGAGGACGAAGGTGAGGAAGGTGGGGACCAGCGCTGCCCGCGCTGGGGCCCTCCACGGAGCCCAGGGGTGCGAGCCTGCATCCGTGAGTAGAGAACCGAGTGAGCCTGGTCACGTCCCTTGTCCCCCCTCCATGTCGTCTTGTTCCGTGTCCCCACGAGACGGAAACCGTGTCCCTCCCATGTGGCAGCGGCCACATGAGGCTTTGCCCTTCCCGGTCCCGTCCTTCCCCACGCAGCACCCTTTGGAGGTCCCCCCTCCTTGGCACTTCCAGCCCCGAGCGCGCGGTCTGTCGGATGGCCCGGGGGGCAGCCAGAGCCCCCAGCACCACTGCCCACTGCCTGCCCACTGCCCACTGGGGGGGCTGAGCCCTCGGCCCCCTCTGACCCCCCCTGCGCTTTGTCTCTGCAGTCCAAGGGGAGCCTGGAAGTGACGGAGAGCCAGTCTGCTGACGCCGAGCCGCCACCCCCACCTAAGCCCGACCTCAGCCGCTACACGGGCCTGAGGACACACTTAACCCTGGCCACCACCGAGGGTAAGGAGGGCACCAGGGCCCCGGCAGCCGCTGGGAAGGGAGCCCAGGGCTGTGCCAGGCAGGCCAGGAGCCAGGGCCCTAGGCGGCTTTAACAGGCTGCAGGGCAGACCCGGAGCACATCGGCACCGCCGCACTTCCCGGGCCGCTGCGTGCGGCCCCTCGTGCTTGGAGAAGCCTGCGGGACGCTCACAGCCGGAAGGCCGAGCCGGCGCGGCGCTGCCCGGAGCCGCAGGGAGCTGTGCCTTGCAGCCACGGCGCTGCCCGGAGCCGCGGGGAGCTGTGCCTTGCAGCCACCGCGCTGCCGGGACGGAGGAGGCGAAGCGGTGGCAGGCCCAGCTCGGCGGCACAGCACGTCTCGGCCGGCTCCCGCGTGGGCTCGGCCAGAGGTGGGATGTGACGGGCAGAGCCTGTGGCAGCTGCTTCCCACAGCGGCTGGAGACCCCACAGCTCTCCCGGCCCCGGCTGGGCTCCACCGCCCAGCCCCGCTGCCCATCGAGGGCTGCAGCGTGTGTGTCCCTGGGGGGAGCGCCCCGGCACCCCCGTGCAGTGCACCCTCCCGGGGTGTCACCCAGCCGGGGCTGCCGCAGGGGCGCGGAAGTGCCAGCCCCACACACGTGGCTGTGGGGACACCCCTTCATCCCGCTCCGTCTCTCCCGCCCCGCTGCGCCTCCCCTCCAGCCCGTCCCTCCCTCCCCGGTCTGTCCGCCCCAGGCTCAGAGCCGGTTCTTGGGCAGGGAGGGCAGGGCTGGGTATGTTCCTTCCCCACAGCCCCGGGGAGCCGCTGCCCCCCTGAGCGTGCCCCTCTCTCCCGGTGCAGACAGCAGCCTGCTAGGCAAGGACAGCCCCCCGACTCCCACCATGTACAAGTACCGGCCCGGCTACAGCAGCAGCAGCAGCTCGGCGGCCCTGCCCCACTCCACCAGCGCCAAGGTAAGGCTGGGCCCAGTGTGGACGACCAGCCCCGAGGGGATGGTGTTCCTGGTGTGGGGAGGGTTTGGGATGGGTGTCCAGAGCTCTGCAGGGACCCTGTTATCGTTCCGTGGGTGACTGCTGTCCCTCTGCCCCTCAGCTGAGCCGAGTGAACAGCCTGAAGGAGCCCAACTCCATCTGCGAGAGCGGCCACAAGCCCAGCTACCGCTCGGAGCCGAGCCTGGAGCCCGAGAGCTTCCGCTCGCCCACCTTCGGCAAGAGCTTCCACTTCGACCCCCTGTCCAGCGGCTCCCGCTCCTCCAGCCTCAAGTCGGCGCAGGGCACAGGCTTCGAGACGGGCCACCTGCAGTCCATCCGCTCCGAGGGCACCACCTCCACCTCCTACAAGAGCCTGGTGAACCAGACGCGCAACGGCAGCCTCTCGTACGACAGCCTGCTCACGCCCTCCGACAGCCCTGACTTCGAGTCGGTGCAGGCGGGCCCGGAGCCCGACCCGCCCGTGGGCTACACCTCGCCCTTCCTGTCGGCCCGCATCACCCAGCAGCGAGAGACCGACCTGCACGGCCGCTTCGCCGGCGCCGCCTCCTCCCCGAAGCACGCGGCGCCCCGCGAGCCCTCGCCCGTGCGCTATGACAATCTCTCCCGCCACATCGTGGCCTCCATCCAGGAGCGGGAGAAGCTGCTGCAGCAGCCGCCGGCCCCGGGCCGGGAGGAGGACGCGGGGCTGGCGGACTCGGGCATCCAGTCGACGCCGGCCTCCAGCAACGCCCCCCGCACCAGCTCCTCCTCGGACGATTCGAAGCGCTCGCCGCTGGGCAAGAACCCGCTCACCCGCCCGGCCCTGCCCCGCTTCGGGAAGCCCGAGCCCCCCCCGGCGCTGCGGGTGCGCTCGCTGGGCTCCCCCGACCAGCCCGCCGCCCCCCACCTGGGCAAATCCGTGTCTTACAGCAGCCAAAAAACAGCCTCGCAGGCTGGCGGCCCCGAGACGGAGGAGGTGGCCTTGCAGCCCTTACTGGCACCAAAGTGAGTATGGCACAGGCACAGCGGGGTCTATGGGGTGGGACCCTCACCCTGCAGGGAGGTGGCTGCTCAGTGCCCCCCTGCCCAGTGCCCCTCCAACCCTCTGGGGCAGCAAAATGCAGAGAGATGCTGCAGGTTGCCTGAGGAAAGGCAAAGGAAATCCTCCTCCCAGAACTAGAGCTGGTGCCCCCCACAGCTCCTTGGTCACCCCCCTGGGAGCTGGAGTGGGCTATGAGTGCTGGGGGTCCCTGGGGAGGGCAAGAGAAGTCCTCCTCCTCCTCCTCCCGGAACGGAGTTGGTGCCCCCCACACCTCCACAGGCCCCTCGGGAGCTGGAGTGGGCTGGGGGTCCCTGGGGAGGGCAGGGCTGTGGCTGAGGTGAGCCGTCCCCACTCCTGACCCCGCTCCTGACCCCGTGTCCGTCCTTCCTTCCCCGCAGGGACGAGGTGCAGATGAGAACAGCCTACAGCAAGTCCAACGGGCAGCCCAAGAGCCTGGGCTCGGCCCCGCCGGGCCCGGTGCCCCTCAGCAGCCCCACCCGCGGCGGCGTCAAGAAGGTGTCGGGCGTGGGGGGCACCACCTACGAGATCTCGGTATGAGGGGCAGAGCCGCTCGCCCCCTCCCCTCCTCCCTCCCCGGCGGCCCCCAGGGACGCGCTGCCGGACGCTTGTGGACTCCCGGGGGAGCCGGGCGGGGGCACGGCCCAGCGGCCCCCCCTGCCCTTCCCTTCTCCACCCCCTGGGCCTCAGGGGCTGGCACACACCCTCGGGGGGGGGCTCTGGGGGAAAGGGAGGGGGGGGCTGCAGCCCCGGCACCGCCTCGGCTGCGCCAGCCACTTGTGGGCCTTGTGCAATCACCCGCTCGCCTGGCGTGGTAGGAACGGATTGTTTTTAAACCAGAATACTTTTTTTTATTATTATTGTTACGGATTCTATTTTTTTTCCTCTTTCCGAGTTACCAGGTGTGTGTATATATAAATATCTATATATATAAATATAAATATTAAAAAAAAAAAAAAAATAAAAAAAAAAAAAAAAAAGAAGAAGAAGCAGAAAT